CAGCTTTGAAGAACCATAAATCCCTCAAAATTATACAATCCACATAAGAACTATTTTTTTTTTCCAGCTTCAGAAACAGATTTACTGCTTGTTTCTTTTCCTTTTTATTATTCACTGGGGATAGTAGCCTAGCATGAAGCAAGATTTTTTCCAGTTGCATAATACAGGACACAGCTATATGAAAAAAGGGTGATTTGAAAGTCTAAAAATTTTGGGAGACACCTGACACATTTGGGGATGGAGAAGAGAGAAGAGTTAAAAACCAAGCAGATTGGTAACTTCTTAAATTAGACAGCTCTATGGACATCGAGAACATGCCCAGATTTCCATGTATACTGTGCATATTTTAAAACTCAAGGCAAACAGATGCTGGAATTGCAAAAATAACCTACTAAAAATATACAGATAACTCAACAACTTTTTATACTAATCTCAAATTTGTGGTTATCCGACACGTCACCCCCACTACTTCAGAAGGCTTCTAGAAGTTGAACATTTTGAAAAGGTGTTTCTCAGCTCAGCTGGTTGAGAAGTACCAGCAAAGATGATGGTTTAACTAAAAGCTCACTTACATGATTTTCCTAGTACATCTGAAAGAAGCTAGAAACATGTTCTCAGATCTTGACATCTGTTTATAACAATCTTTTACTACAGCTAAGGGTACAGTTCCAGCCAACTTCTCTCAGATAAAGAGTATCTTTAATAAAGCTGCTTTCATTCTGCATGTCTTAATTTAACTCAATAACAGTAAATCATATTCATGTTTTCAGATATCCAGATGGGCACATATAAGCCAATAAGCCACTCAGGAAGAATTCCAATTGCAAGTGTGTAAATAGGTCATGCTTCCAGCAATAAATAAGATTGTTAAACATCTTGAAATATTCCACATCCTATTACTTCCACCTTTCAGTCAGGTAAAATAGATATTTTTCACATGCTAGTCTAATATGCTGCATCTTAATGTGTTTTCAGAGGGCTTCCTACATATGTCTCCAGGAGTTTTACAATGACTTGTTCTTAAATTGCTCATTACTTTAAGCTCAAGAAGAGTTGCTCAGAAATATAAAGCGGTGTTACTGGACTACGAAGCCTCTCTAAGTTGTGGTCATGTAGTCAGTTGGTAGTACTAAAAGTGCAAACTAGAGTCTTTGAATTTTACTCAGATCACTGTTAGGTAACAATATTGTTGATCTTTCCATTTTATGTAAAGCCATAAAAAGATACTGGCACAAGTCTATTACTTAAAAAAGTAATTTTTTTTTTTTTTACATAATCAAATTGATCCCAAGTTAAACTGTGTTTCTACAGGTAAACATTTAAGTCTTACATAAAATTAATCTTACTAAAGTAATTACATTGAATTAGAACAACCGAAATATGGCTGCTTCTTCCAAAAGTACTATTAATAGGGTCTTATGGAAATGAAGCATGGTCCAAAACCCCATCACACCTACAATAATCTTCCTGTCTGCTTCTGTGAGCTCTGATCCATACCACCAGTTAAGAACCAAAATCTTTAGAGTGAGACAGGTACATATATGAACAAATAATTTAACTACGAATAACCATATGCTTGGGGGAGATTGTTACTGATGTGATTTGTCAGGTCAAGCCAGAAAGCAGAGCACATCCCAGTGATGGTTTTTGATGATTATTTCTCTTCCTCCATAAGGAAAGAAATGTGACTAGAGCCTCAATTAACAGAGAAGGCCATGAGGCCTCCAGAAGCGACATCTGCTGTATCTACTTACTGAAGAGCTGCACTCAATTGCAACTTCATTGAAAATACAGCATTAACAAAAAAAAAAAAAAAAGAGACTTCAAAAGGCCACAAACTTAAAAATGAGCCATTTGAGGAATTGAAACCTGTATGTAAAATTAGTGATAAAGTTTATTTGCTTTTCTTTTGTTTTTTCTTGGCCATTACAATATAATCCATAAATAGTTTCTGGCTTTCACAGCAGTTCTCTCTTTTTATGAGAGATTCTCAACAAATCTTATGCATAATTTGGATACTTCACAGCTCTTTGAAGTATGTTATAAAGCTTACAGGACTGAAGACTGCAAGTGTTGACACAGTTGTCTCAAAAAAAAAAAAAAGAGTAAGCAATGAGAAGCATATTATTTATAAGACATAGTGGGAAAAAAATGCCTCACCAGTTGGAAAAGTCTCTGCTTGACTGGGAAGGATGCTTGAATTGACATTCATGCACTTTTCACGTTGAGAACACTCTATTATGATAAATGAAAGGAATAGGTAAGTGCATTTTCTAAGTCCATATAAATCACACACACCAAAGAAAATCCAAACCAACAAAAAGCACAACCACAAAAACACCCCACACTTTCAAAGCATTTGATGCATTGGATAATTACTAAAAGAAAATACCTATATTTTTTCCCTTCCTGCTATATAATTCCCCAAACCTACAAGAAGTATCTGCAGATCATTTCCCTCCTACTGGGGAGGAAGCTAAATCTAGATTTCATCATTCTAATGTGAATCTTCAGGGACACGGAGAATTTGTGGAAAGATATCCTCTCAGGAAGCTGAAGTCTCATTTGGGAGGGAGCAAGGGTGAGACTTTGTTGTCTTTTCCTTTGCACCTATAGTAAGTACCCTCCACTGCCAATTTATACCACTGAAACTTCAATGATTCAAGTGCCTTGTACCAATTCATACATTGAGAGAAATAATCTTCCTCTATTTGTCATAAGCTTAATACTTGGGTGGGGGTAATGTAAAAACAAGTGATTTGAAGTTTCAGAAAAACAATATAAAATATTTTATGTTAATAGCAATCTGCTTTTTTTTTTCCCCAGTCCATATTTCTTTCAGTCCTTCTGGAAATTCTACATTTTCATGCTGAAGAAACACCCACTCCAACCAATTCCATTTTCTAAAGGTTCCTTTGGAAAAAAACACCCAAACAAATAACAAACAAACCGTGAAGACAAGGCTTGATATTTCCAAGAAATGAAAAATTGTCTGAGGCAATTTTCATGTATCCAAAGACATTTGCCTCGGCAGCTTTTAAGAAACTTAGAAACTATCATGTCCTACTACAAATCTTCATCTTCCCTTCAGTGCATCTATTGATGTTACATGAACAAAGTCATGCAGATGAATAAGGATACATAGACACAGAATTTTCCCATTTCATAAAAAAGGTGGCAAGCAGTAAAAACATCATCTTTAAATCCAATTATTATCATATAATAGAATCAGAGACCAAGTTCCAAAGCACTTTGGTATTTGTTGGGTTTTGGTTGGGTGTTTGACAGGGTTTGGGGTTTTTTGTTTGATTTCTTAACTTATTCAGACTCTGATATTTATTTTAAAACAGAAATTTGATAGTGAGCTCACTGCAATGTAGGCTGTGTTTAAGAAACATCATAAATTTGTTCCCCGTAGCTTCTGAGACTGTAGGAAGTTGTAGTTCTACTTTTCGTTTTAGTCAGAATTACAAAACGAACAATTGTCAAAACTTAAACAACATGTTATCAATCACTTTGATCATCATTTAACAGTTGATAAAGACAATTAAGTACCGTGTTTTTGCTATGTGACCTTGACATTACTATTATTACCAGATATGGACTTTCCCTGAAAGGTATTTATCAAGACAAATAACCAGCAGGTAATATTTTATTTAAAACTAAACCTACTTTTATTACTTTTAGAGGAAAGCAAAAAACCATGAGCAAGCATTTTATTACTTATGGGAGTTTGTTTAAAAATAGATTGCTATTAAATATGAGCAAAAGCATGAGGTACTATAAACACATTTTAAACATTGAGACTGTTTTGAGTGCTTTAATTAGATTCAAAAACTTAACTTGAACTCCATGCCCCATTCCTAATTGTTGAATGACTTGCACACTTCTTGGCAAGCTAAAGAGAAACTTTATACTGCCGTGGGATGCTGGTACCCGGTATACTTTGATGTCAGCAAAGTTGAGTTATAAACAGAAAGACATTGTTTAAGCTACAGGACATATAATTTAGAATAAAATTTACAAGAAATCTGCAGAGGGACTTTTTACAAGGGCATGTAGTGACAGGAGAAGGGGCAATGGCTTTAAACTGAAAGAGGGGAGATTTAGGTTAGACATTAGGAAGAAGTTCTTCACTATGAAGGTAGTGAGACACTGGAACAGGTTGCCCCAAAAAAAATATGAATGCTCCATCCCTGGCAGTGTTCAAGACCAGGCTGGATGGGGCTTTCAGCAACCTGGTCTAGTGGAAGGTGTCCCTGCCCATGACAGAGGGCTGGAACCAATGAGCTTTAAGGCCTTTTCCCACACAAACTAGTCTAAGATTCTATGATCTTTAGATGAAGGGGGAAAAAAAATAAAATTCCTAATAATTTTACTGAACTAGATTCATACAGTCTAAACTCAACTTTGCTTTTGAATCTTAAAGATTATAGCAAAAAAAAAATGCTAGAAATAGAACATATTTCAGTGTTCTGGCTCGAGTTCTTCTAGTTTTCATCTTATCCTAAGAGATGACCCATTTGTTTGCCCAAAGCCTATACTCAATTGGGTCATTTAATAGTCCAATCCATGCAGCATTGCAATGGAGGAAATACAGCCGTTTGCTTTGTTGCATTTAACAGTTGTAGAGGCATTTAAAAAGCAAAATTCTCAGCTGAAAAACACATGACAGTTTTTTGCTTGTGTACAGTGACCAATATTTAAAGACCACAGGAATCTAAACACAAAGAAAAGTAAAGAGCAGAGTGACCAGAATATATCAGTTGAGGTCTTACCCGTTTGTTCTTGCAATGAGTCCATCCTGACTCCATCCCTGACAGGGCTGATGGCATCACTAGCCTCCACAGGTTTCCAGTCAGACCCACACCTTCCCTGCTCCAGATCTGTCACCTCCAAGTTCCTGTCTTGCTTTCCCTCTAGACCAGGGATGATGGCATTAGTGCTGAGCATAGATGTGCTGCCTGCTGCTGCTGAACTCTCCATAATTTGCAGTTCCTCAGTGATGCAGTTAAGATTACCAACAATCTAAGGGGAAAAATCATTTTTTCTTTTTAAATCAGAATACATGCACATGTTGAAGAGCTGCCCTCTCCTGCAGGAGTTATTTTTAGTTGTAATATACATGAAGTATTTGCTTTATAAGTCTTTCAGAGGAATTATAACACCCAAATTCATCCTAAAATAAGCTTCTGCAATCAAGTGGCATCACGGTTTCAGCAACAAAGCAATAGATTTAACTAACACCACAGTCCAAGGCCCGAAGTGTACTTGTGCTCACTGCTCATTATTCATCCTTGGCCAGCTTTAATGCAGCGCCTCCAAGGAATGGAGTCATTCACACTAACAGAGGCAATGCAGGGGAAAACCATCATTTTCTAAGGGTGACAAGAATGGATGGGTACTCTGTTCCCAATTCAAACAAGCAGGAAGGTTTTTATAAAACCAGCTGAAGAATGAACTCTCTGCAGGAACCCACAGTGCAGGAAGACCGGCATACACGGATCCAAAGATTTCTTTTCAGTAAAGCAAAAGAGTGATCTACTGAAGCTAGAGGCAGTCTGGCAGCAAGACTGTTACTGGCATGAATATCGGGAAAAAAGAATAGAAATGGAAGTAGGGCGCAAGTAATCGCAAGCTTCACTGCCCCCTCTACAGTCACTGACATGAGACATCCTGCAATCCCATTTTTTGGGCACAAACTACTTCAGCATCAGAAAATGTGCAGCCAGACCAGACCAATGCATCTGGAAAGGACGTGACTCATGTAGCCAGCACATGACCCACTGCTATTTAGACTCTTTTCCTCAGTGGGCTCTCACATGCCTCTTTAATTGATTTTCTAAAGCCACTGGATAGATTGCTTTAGTTCTGTCACTTGGACTTAATACAAATTCCTCTGTGCTTACTCCAGCCATATTCATTAATGAGTTACATTATGAGTATACAAACTTGTAGTCTTTGTGACATTTCCTCTCTTGCTTTCTTTACAGCAGAAATTGGTTAAAACTGAAGTTTTTGATGGAAGATTACTTCTGCTCTACCAAAACCTCAGACTAGAGCTTAGTCACCTAGAAACCCCTTACAATCTGCCTTCAGATGGGTCAAGCAATTTCACCATCCTCTGCTGACCACACAATGAGGTATCCCAAAGCACAATGTTCTGGCTTGGTTCTTCACATACATGCCTTCCAACACTTCTTGCCCTCCAAGCTTCACGTCATAGATCTCTAAACACGAGCAAACTGAGTGCCAGTGTGAACAGCACAACAACTCCTGGTTGTCTGCCATGGCAGACAACCCAGATAAGACACTGATCTGTCTGCAAAACTTTCATACTGGTTTGCACTCATTGAAACCTTTAGCCCATGGAGCACTTGAATAAACAATAAACTATATATAGACAGAAGCATGTTATGCAATTATAGAAAAATTAATGAGGTATACTTCCTGCTGCTATGACCAACTCAGAGGATTAAACCATAATCATATCTACCACAAGCACGTAAGTTAACAAAGTATGAAGAAATCTAGGCTGGTTGTTGTTTTAATGTTTTTGACCCATTGATTTGACCCATTTTGCCATTTATTCAAATATGACTATCAGAGTGGTGAGGCTGATTGTGAAAAGATTCTTTGTGGTGCAGCATCAGTTTTCCATATAAAGTTATGAGTATAAATTCATATATACACCTATGAAATACAGATAGTAACTAACTCAAACGCAAGTAATTTTGATGTGTTTTCTCTGAAATCTTGTTAGTAGTTTCACTAACATATTTAATTAACATTGTAGTTCCGACTTCTTATCTCGGTTTCTCTTGCCAACTTCTCTGAAAAACTGCTTATCAGACTTGATGACCTAGCTAAAAATGATTAAAAATAGAGGCCTACCACAGAACAAACTCACTTTGCTAGGGATATGCCTTTCCATTTATATAGCTGAATTTTTCCTTAAAGTAGTGATAGTAGCAAAGACCATTATTTTCAGTGCTGTACCAGGATAATGTGTAATGCACTGTAATTTTCATACTTAAGAAACAAACACATTTCTGCGTATATTTTCCAAATACTGGTAACTCCTGGTAATGAAAAGGTACATACTGTGATTTTAAGGATAATTTAATTCCAAAGGTGGTGGCTTAAATTACATTGCTCTATCAACCCACAGCCAGTTGTTATTATTACATTAGGAATATCCTTAATCCCAGAAGTGAAATTCAGTGTTCAGAATACTAATTTTCTCCATCAGCTTCTAACTACAAACAAAAATATAATTCTGACCAAAATGTAGGAAAACAAATATACTGTGGCTTGGACTCTTAGAATTCAGTTGAGTTGGAGAAGAGAAAGCTTCCATGTCCTCTGCATCAGTGCATACCGGTAAGTGTAGCATATACACAGGGCTTTGAATGAACCTATAAAGTTTGCTGTCACAAGAGCAAGTAGGGCATCTGAACAAATCAAAATGGATATGATCTGTTTAAGAAGATTCAGTTACAGTGTCCCAGAGCCTAAGCCAAGAAAAAAAATCATCAGAGTAAGTGAAAGAAAAGCAAAACTGGTATGTTCTTATCAATATTTTCTCTTGGCTCTTCCAAGATACACAGGATGAAAATTAAGACCTCAAACATCTTTAAGTCATGCTCTCCTCTACAGATTCCTATCTTTAATGTTTGCCTTAACTATCAAATGTCAACCCATGTGGCTCTGTATAAGCTCAGAGAACAAGACAGTAAGCTTTCCTGTAACTAGGCACATAGTCCACCTAGGTGCTTTTGAATATTTGTGTAGCACCTAAATGTATCTTAAGGGGTACAAGTGACAAAGATTTCATAGAATTTTGCATCACATCACCATCCTTTCACTATTCATCTTTGACTGTCATTTGCTCCCCAAGGAGCAAAATCGTAACATACAAGCAATGCTGTGGTATGATCACCATATTTATCATGCTGATGCTTTCTCTTCAATTATTTAACCATTCCAGTACAAATTAAAACAGATTCATAGGCACAAAACCAGAGAAAAACATTTATCCATTATAAAACACATTTAGAGATTGTTAAACTTCAAATGCTTTAGTCACTGTCATCATGAGGGTTTTCATAAATCTATAAAGCTAATTTACCATTATACTTACTAGCAACTGGCCATTTGTTCATAGGAAGAAATACAACATGAAGAAATGGATTAAAGGGCTACCACTCACCTTAAGCAGCAAGTTTGTCTTCTGTAAATATACACTGTAAGAACTAGTTATGTGCACTGACAAAGCATCGTGTTTAGTATTTAGACAAATGATTTTATCTCATGGTCCTTGAGGTTTGGCTAAGAAATCTTTATTTGGTTCATGACATTGAACATAAAACTTAATGATCTTTCCATTTTCTAAACCAGGAACCAACCTCTATTGAAAAGCCATGCAGGAAAGTGCTGGCATTCTACACTGACTGGGGGGGAGCCTGGCAGTCTAAGACAAGAAATCAAAGCGGGGATGCAGAGCAAGAAAGGAGAGGCAGATGCTGGACAGCTCAACAACTGCTACAGGAGTGCTACTGCATCCACTGTGTTCATCCTTCCCCATGGCCTGAGCTCCCTGGACAGGCTGCACTGCACAGAGCTATTGGTATCACCTCTCCAGGCTTGCAAGGCTCAGAAGGTCACTCCACCTTCCTCTTGCCTTCTCACAGAGCACAGCAAGCTGGAAAGATCTGTATTCCACAGCTGTTGAACATGAGGTGGAAATAAGACACTTCTTTCCTGCTGGAAGGTAAGTAGAACAACTATGTTATCATGCTTTTCCCTCTGTGGCTACTTCCTTTTCACTGAGTGCTTCTATCTCTGTTTTCAAAATATAGCTGACCAGAAGAAAAAGCATATAGCTTAACATTTTCCATTTCCCCAACTATGGAGGTTGAAGTTGCTTTCCACCACCCACCCCCACACCTTGCCTATTGTTGCTTTCCACCCCCCTGCCTTTTGTTGTTTTAGAAACAGATTCCGATGACAGGAATGCTTTCTCTCCCACCAACTCCCTTCCACTTTAAAGGGGGTTGAAGAAAATTCTTAACATCTACTGAACAGGTTCTGTCTCTCTCTCTTTAAAGGTGTATTTCTAAGTATGAGAATAGGACCGAATATATAAAAATACTTGAACTAGTTGTCTAAAACCTGCATGCAAAACAATAGTTCTCTCACTCATCTTCCCTCTAGAAGGCTCAGGACAACTTGTTAATGGCTAGCTTCACATTACCAGCGGCAAATACAGTTATTCTAGCTTTACAGAGATGGAAATCAAGACAAACGTTACTTGTGGTCATACAGGAGTGCTATAGAAATGCTGGACAAATAGAATCCAGAGGTGAATGTAAACTTGAATTAATTTATCCCATACATATTGGAAACCCGGATGGTGCAAGGTTACTGTCATTGCTCCTCTCTGCATCATTTCCTATCTCATGCAAAGAAAATGAACACTAGCTACGGTTTGTTTCTTCCCTCACCTCACCTCAGCCCTTGATGGAGCAGGGCGATGCTTCTAAATGTAAAGTCTCTTCCAGCCACTGCTGCTGTGCCCGAGTCAACACATCTCTGGTGACCCACAAATTCTTACTTGTCGTCTGTAGTGCACTGTGTACCTCCAGGGCTCCAAACCAGGGAAGACAGCTACTGAAGCCTGCATTGCCCAATTTAAAGGACATTTGACTGCATGCACACTCTTGATCTTCTGTTCTGCTTTATCTCATAGAATCATAGAATAGTTAGGGTTGGAAAGGACCTTAAGATCATCTAGTTCCAGCCCACCTGACATAGGCAGGGACATAAGGACATCTCCTGTACATCCCACATGTCATACAATAGCACAGTCTTGCGACTATGCTGCCATAAACTAATCTAGGTCATTTTACTAAATTGGTGCTTGAATAGTTATTACTCCTTCTCACCAATTTCAACTCACTTCTTTTTCACATCTCGTGTATTAGGCTACAAACATCTTACAGCCAAGATTATAAGCTTTGTCCTCAGAGAAAGTAAATCACAGCCTTGCTGCCTATGAAATTCAGTCACAGGCATGAATTAAAAGAATTCCATACTATGTACTGTATATGCAGCACTGAACACTTTTTCCTGCAGTGCTGCTATGCATTACACAAAGGTAAAGCAAATCTGTGATCAGGGTAAACAGACTTAGGAATGTGAGTACTCTCCAAAAGGGAAGAATGACTCCTTTATCACTGAAGTAACTTTAGGTTAGTAAGCAATTCTTAGTAAACTGTGTTGCAAGCAGTATCAATCTTCACAGTCAGTCTACAAACAAAAAAGCCCAAGCAAGCTGCAAAGATACAATAGATTCCTTTAAAAGTTTTATCATTCTCTTACAATTAATTTTATTCATCTCATAGCATACTTTTCACTCAGAATCCAGCTCTGAAAGCACCATAAGCCCAAAATTTCCAAGTTTAGATATGGGAAATTGTAGGCTAAAATCCACAGTTTCATAGCTGATTAAAAATAAGCATAATCTCTAGAGGTGCTCTGAAAAAAAATCAGATCACTCTTAGAAAGCTATAAAAGGCATCTGTGAATCTTGATACTTCATTTGGAGTGCTAGATTTGACAGAGTTTGGCCTGTGGCAGCTAGTGCAGAGGAATAAAGTAGAAGGAATGCTTTTGTTACTGAACAGCTTTTCAGCCTCACGCAACACCACCTAGAAGAGGGAACATAGAGCAGAACAGGAATTCCCAGCAGGTTCTTGTAACCATGACAGATCACATTTACATATATTTTCCAGTCATTTTACAGACACAAATTACTGACCACTACTGAAATTACTGGTTAACTGGCTGCAATTCTAACATGTTAACAACAAACCTAGTCAAATATCAGACCACAGGTACCTAAAATAGAGTGAAAGACAGGCATGCAGATATAGAGCACACGACTTCTCCTACCTTTTCCAAGTCTGATTCACTATAACATGCTGGAAAAGAGCACACAGATCTGTGCCTTCCTCAGCTCTGCTCACAACTGACTCCAGCACAGCTCTTCCTGTTTGACCTTCTTATCTTTCCTGTTGATTGCACAGCCTGGCTTGGACGTGGCAAGTACAAAAAGTTGTCTATTAACCAATACTGTTAATTCAAAAACTTCAGGTTTTTTAAAAAAGAAACATTCATGAGCATGGAGTTGAGCTACTAAAGTTCATTATGCAATGCAGAAACAGATCAAGTGTGCTGGAAGGTTTGTTCACACACTCCTGCTTTTCAAAGCAATAATTCATGTTGGCATTTTGCATTAGTGATTAAAAGGTTTCATGGGACACATCCAGGCCATTGTGTTAAGCAAGCATTGTTCAGACAAAGTAACAAATAGTCCTTCAGATGGAGTACCAGGCTTTATCTCCCCTCTGCGTTTGATCACTGAATTAGGTTTCTTGCCATCATTCCAGCTACAAAAAGCTGTTTGACTTGCTTCTTTGATGAAGAACTGTTTGACATCGATACACTTGGGTTTATATTGCAGAAGTGCAGACTTCTGCAGATCTATCATACACTATGCAGCATTAGATATTAGTTTGGGGAGTTCAGAAAGTCCGTTGTGAAGTATATGCAAAGCATATCTTCTGGGTCAGAAGAATTTATCGCTAATCCAGATGCCATATCCTAAATGACCCACAAAGGCAAGGACAAGAGAAACTGAAAATAATCCATCCTATTTCAAATTTGCTTGCTTTTTGTCCTCCACACCTTGAGATGTTTCCATATTCTCTTCCTCCCTAACATAATGTAATGTTCACCATTAGTCACTGTTAGGATACTCTTATAGGTGAGCCCCAAGTACCCCACACACCATCGGTGTGGGCTGCATTGCAGCAGGCAGTACATGAGAACAGAACAACACATTGTCCACCCCAAAATATGTTATCTCAGACATCTCTAGTCAGCAGCATCACAGTGTTTGAGGTACCAGGCCATTGACCACACGTGGTGGGTGTGTTGGCAGGGAGTGTTGTCCTGAGACATATCAGAGGGAACCCGTGGGACCAGGCAGCACCTGGAGAATGTGATTTGAGATGATGGGTTGTCCCATGCAGCACTGCTGCCATCCTACAGCTCTTGCTAGGGGGAACAGAAAAAAACCCTGACCATTCAGATGCCTTAGAGACCTTAGTTATGACCCCTGCTAACCTGTCTCAAGGAACATGCACTTAAAAGTTAGCTTTAGAGTTTATAAACTAGGTATTAATAATTACAAGTCATGCTCTCATTTACCTTACTTCATCCTGTCTCACCATGTTAATATGAATCATAAATGCTACTTCACACTGATTGACCAATCTGTTCCTGCAGTATGCTTGGGAACTCTCCATCTTTCCAGAAATTATGAAATTGGAAGGTATTCAAATAATTGTATAAATCACAACTAACCAATCATCCCACAGGGCTCTCCTCCCACTGGAATCAATTTGATATTGCACTATAGTGCAGTACACAAAGCATGTCACTTCAATTTTAATTAATTTATGTAGTAGCTATGCCAACAGCATGAAATACCATATTTCTGTCACCATTTTACTGTCTGATTTTCTATGAGTTTTAAGACTGCTTAAATCTTTTAATCACATTTTATTTGTATATTTAAGGATAATCTTCGTTTACATTTTATAACCCCAGTTCTTCACTGCCATTCCTATCACCTCTTGTGTATACTCAAGGTAGATTTGCGAAGAAACCAAAATCATCTAACTCTGTATTTTTCCTAATGAATGCCAATCCTCCATCCTCTTTATGGGCCAAACACTGTAGAACCTACCACCAATTAGTGTGTCCCTAAAATCTAAAAAAAAAAAAAAAATTAAAACAAATGACCGATTTTTACTATAGAGAAGTTAAGTTAGGGGAAGTGCAACTCACTTAAGGAAACTAATAACAAAATAGCAACAACTGAACTCCAGGCTCCCAACTCCCCTTTCAACACCTGCTTAGAATCATGCTATGGTTTCAGTCAGAAGGGACTTTCAAAGCTCATCTAGTCCAGCCCTCCCTTCAATGATCAGGGACTCTTCAACTACATCAGGAATCCTCAGCTTCCTCTGTGATTTTACACCAAAGCACATTTAATCATGCCATTCAAGGTACTTCAATTCTTGGGGGGCATATATTGATATATGGTTTAAGGGGAAACAAGGAAAACAATCTTTTCAGCTTCAGAGTAATGACATCAAATGCTGGTCCTGGACTTCTCATTGTTTTAATGAAACAGTACCAACCTGCATTACAGAAACTGAAGATGTGAACAGCTGCTCTCATGACATAACTCCAGAGACCAATATATTTTAGCAAACAGGAAAAACACAAAAGTAGCACAGCGTGGTTTCCATATTAGTAATCTCATCCCTTATACGACATTTTATGGACTAGAAATTGTGCTACCTCTTCAGGTTTCCTTATGCAGAAGGATAGGCTTGAGAATAGGCCACCTTTAACTATTAAAGTTTCCTGAAGACTCAACGGCCTTGCTTATGTTGGGCTGTCCCTGATCTTTTCAGGATTATTAGAAGAAGCTGACAAAAAGCAGAGGACATTGCGTGTTGAAACAAGACGTTTCCTCTAATTGTCTCTCTCTGGCATTGCTTTCATCATCCTGTTTGTGTGCCCTTCTGCAGCTGCATGCTTGTCTGACTGCTTTTTTGCTACAGCAGCTTGGTTTAGGAAAAACAATGCATTTTAATATTAAGGCCAATTATACCTTCCAGTATAACTATTATTCCATCACGGCTGGTTGCATACCTATGAAGGAGTAGTCTATTGCCAAAGGGACTGAATTCAACACATAAGTAGAATGAAATGTAACTTGTTTGACTGATAACTAATAGCAAATAGCAGATTTAGGCAAGAAAGGATCTTCTTACCTGCTTTGCTAAATTCCTATCTGATCTTTTTCATCTCAAGTCCACTTAATGTTACAAAGCTCATTTCCCCTTGCTGAACCTGATCGTTAAAGAATCTCTTTGTTTCACAGGTTGCTGAAATTAGCATTCTTCACTATTTACAGCTGGCATGACAAGTTTGAAATCACACAAGATACTGCTTTCTTGGCTGAATTAGCCTCTATCAGTTCTTATTTTATCCAGTGATTGAGGTATTTTCACTTAAAACGAAATGTAACATAACACAATCTGTACTGAAAAGTTCAGAGAATTCTCACTTGAGCCCCTAGATGTGAAAACTCTCCAGCCTGAAGCGTGAACTCACAGTGGCAACCTTTTACTTAGCAAGATTACTGAAATAACTAGATTGATTTTAGCAGGATTAGCAGCATACATGGGTATTAGTTGTGTTACGTTCACACAATAGCTACCCCAAAATTCCACAGAAATAGGTTTAGCCATATGTTTCCTTTTGATTAGCATGTTATCTCTCCACAGTAACTACATATAGAATTAACTAAAGAGTTAAAGTGTTTTTTCATGGAGTCCTGTCATCTTTCATCTGCCTGTTTGGCGCTCAGATAGCTTTACTTCCCCCAGGTCCTGAAAAACACACTAACAGCTCCATAGTCTGCTTCAGAAAGGAAAAGCAGAAAACATGAAAAGAAAAATATACGGTCATCCATCTGTACGGAAATGCTGTCGCCTTGGAGTCTGCAGGAAAATGCTGAGTCAAAACATCCAGCTGTTACACCGCTTAAACAGTTCCTAAGCTATTTATCCCACTCACTAAATAATAGCTACGTTTACTTACATTTACCAAATGTTATTAATAGATGTTACTGAGTTTGTTATTCCTCAGGACAAGCAATAACATGGTACACACCTGACAGAGCTTCCTCCTAAGGTTAGCAGCTCCTGAGAGCTGCTATTACTCACTTGAGAACATTTTTAGCCATCAATAAAAAGCCAACATGGTCCTACTAAGGAAACAGATTGCGCTTATGTCCAAATCACAGCAAGCAAGAAAGTTGCGATCAGATTCCCTGCTTGGTCTCAGCCATGACATGGACCATAAGCCTCCATGTATTAGAGAAAGAGAAACCTTCAAAAGTAACTTCATCAGCAGAGAATAAATATTGTCACTTACCACTTGGAAGACTAATCATTTCCTTCCTTTACTCTCTAGGTCACCAGGATTTATTTTCTGCCCTATAGAAATAACGGCCTCCTCAAATTAAGCACAGATTTCCAAGCTGCACATGGCACAGAAAGCTTTTACTTCTCAATCACCCAAAGCCAAAAGCATTTAGACAGTTTGTATTCACAGGCTTCAATATAGGGAATGAGCTTCCTCTGTTTTTGTTCCCATTTCTAAAGGGAATTTAAATTTCTTTTATCTTATTTACCAGGATTAACAAACCACTTGGTAAATAAGGCCTCTAAAACATCTAACCAAGCCTTCAGAACTGAGGTAACACATTGAACATGGAAACAACAATTTCGTTCTTCTTCAAGCCTCCAACTATTAAAAGGAAAAACAAATGCCTACATGAAACTCAATTGACAGCTGAACCCCCCTAGAACACCAGCTAAAAGAAAAAGATAATTAAATATTTCTTACCCTCAACAAGCAAAAATCCCACCTTTTATAGCATTGCAGGTTGTTTAAACTAAAAAAAAAAAAAGGGGGGGGGGGGGGGGGGGAACACGACTTCCTTTAATAACCAGGTGAATTGATTTGTGATTAAAGGTTAACTTTTTCCAGCTGCTTGAAGTCTGCAGATAGAAGTAAGAGTTTATCCTTAAGGAAACCTTCTTATAGATAGCCAGGAAGTACATAGTGATATACGGAGAGATTATATATTATGTTGCTCAAACGAATTTGATGTCTCTTTTCCTTCGAAGAAATCTTTTCCATGTTAGGCGTTCAGAAAATGGCACTAATCAAGATTGTTTCCCAAATGAGATTTCTCACTTAGGTTGTCATAGTTTTTCTGCTAGCTTTTTAAACAGAGAAAACTATGTCAGTGTAGCTGAAGCACTTTATTGTAAGGAGTAGAGCAGAAAGCCATGGCTGCTTGGTTTTTAAAAAGAAGGGGAGGAGCAGCAGCAGTGAATATTTAGATCTGCTCCAATTCTTTCTCCCTTTTAAGGATTTGCATAAATGTATGCTATTTGAAATACATTTTTATATTTCTATACACATAGTCACACTCTTTTTTTTTTTACCAGGGTGCTAAAGCACTTCTGGGATGGATAAAAAGACTTCTAACAGAGAAGCACTTACAGTCCTTTGCTGTGCACTGAAACACTTAATTTGCAGTACAGAAATTCACCCATCTGCTTGGTGATTCTGCTTAGTGCTAGAAAATGCAGGGTGAGGGAACTTTATTTATGGGAGCTTGAATATACATGGAATGCAGATATCTCTTGAGCTAGTTTTGGTATTGAGGAAGTAAACTTTGACTTACATAGGCATCCAAAGTGGAGGAAAGTTATTTCAATAGCATAGATATTAGCATCATGTTCCAGTACTTAAAGGGTGGCTACAAAGAAGATGGAGACTCCCTTTTTATAAGGAGTCACCTGGAAAAGATGGGAGGAGAAGTCTTTTCCAGTTACTGCTTGGGAGATTCCAGTTGGACACTAGAGAAAGTTTTTCACAATGAGAACAATCGGCCATTGGGATAATCCCAGCAGGGAAGTGGTGGGTTCCCTGATGTTGAACACTTTCATGATTTGGCTGGACAGCCTGGACATCTAGTGTAGGTCTTGCTCTACCTGGAAAGATTAGACCAGATGATGCTTGAAGTCCCTTCCAAGCTGGTATTCTATGATTCTGTGATTAAACATGGATTCAGTAGAAACAAAGGCTGACTTTTTCCTCTGCTGGTGCTCTGTGGAAGCACGTACCTGAAGGAATAGCTGGAGGGCCCGAAATGATGATAGCCGCTAGGCTAGAAACAATTGTAGAACTGTGATATATCACCTTTTAATCTCTGTGCCATTCAGGAGGTGTGACACAGTTTAGTGTCAGTGGCTTCTGTGTAAAACAGAATGAAATGGTGGTGGTAGGCATGCCGTATGAGGAGTTTTCCTTCGATCAAGGTAGCCCAAAATACTATCTTCTTACAGTTTTGGATTAACATCTCCAGGCACCTAAATGTCTACGGTATCAAAAGACCTATATTGATGATTTTGAGTTAAAAAATAACTGTAAAATTCTGCATCAGTGTAAACCGTCAAAGTAATCGGGATTCTTCCAAATTACTGCTGCCCTCTAGCTGAGGCCTGAAGAAGGGCTCACGTGTACAAGATGGAGTCCATTTTTTGCAGTTTTATCTGTAGATCTACGTTACAACTTCTAGTTGTATGTTACAACTTCTATGTTACAACTTCTAGTAACACCTTTCCTCTCATACCTATCCTTTTAGACCACTTGACTACAGACACCACAAGTAGAAAGGTATAAAAAATATAAAGGTATAACAGATATAAAAAGATGATAATAAGCATAACAAGCACAACACTTTCTGCTTCTGAATTATCCAGCCTTTGTGTGCTTGGGGCAGAATTTCTTAGAAGAAGAAAATCTATAAAAGGCATAGTGCGATCGATAGTCTTGAGAAATATGAAGAAAGATTTTCTATTTAATAGAAAAGATCTGAGGCACAGCAGAGCTTTTCTCAATATGGATCTGAAAATAATCTAAGCTGTAGATGTTTCCAGTCTGAATTTTGGCCCTGGAACCCTTTTACAATCCCATTTATGGATTTTTGATGAAATGAAATGTACTTTCATTTACCATCACAGACAATAGTGATGTTATGATGTGAATGAATGGGGGCATTCTATTAAAAGATTCTTAATACATTTAAGGGCATGTAGCTAACCCCCCAAATTATAATAAGTATTAGCTCCATTAAATGGATAGTATGTGCCATGTCCATTCCTTATATACATTGACATTTTCTCCACTTTTCCCACGTTTGAAAGAAAAGAAAAACCCAACACATTATGTTTCCATTCCTTCTTATTTTCTAGTTAACATCTGTGCGTGTTATCCAGAAACCTCACCCAAAACCTTGAAGTTATCTTTTAGGTAGGCTTGGCCCAGGCCATTACATACAGACCAAGTCCTTCACTTTGTATCAAGCCTGAAAAGCAAAACTGATAGTACAAGACAGGTTTAATGCAGCTGAGGACACACATAGAAGTATTCAGTCACAGATGCATTTTTGCAGGGTCTAGTGCCTGCCTGCCCAGGTACGTTCCCTGGCAGAGTGTACCAGAAGCTTCTGTAAGCTGTCACACATCTCATCAGGCAAAGCCTCACTGACAGACAGTGCTGTGGGAGAATTTTGTCACTCAGGAAGCATGATGCTGTTTTTTTTTTCTTTTTATTTCACATAAGAACAGTGTTGGAGATGCAATGTAGGGTGAGCGATAAGGAATCAGCCTGTACTGCAAAATGGAGTTAAATTGACTCGGGGCCAATGGATTGCAATATCATCTCCTACAAGTGACAAGCTGTAGCTTCAAATAAAGACCAAGGAGTCACACTTACAAGAGATCACAATATGCTTAATAAGCGTTAACCACTCTGCAAAGGCACGAAAGGGACAGTATTATACTTCTTGCTTGTTTACTACAGAGAGCACAACATGATTTACATGTTTACACTCAGGAGTACTGATGCCATGGTTCTGCAGGCTGTGTAAATTGCACTGAAATCCCTGCAAACTTCATCTGCCATTCTCAAATTAAAATTTCATTTTTGCCACTGTTTTTGCAAGTGTAGTGACTTTCGTATTATTCATGCTCTGGCTCATCTCTTCCCCAAACCATCCTTCGCATTTGTATTTCTGCACATTCCATTGCTGTAACCTGGGTGTAACCTGCTGTAATCTGTGTATAAATCATATTGTGATGTTAATCATAACCTGCTAGATTTCCTGTCACATGCAGCAGTCTGTGATATTAAAATGTATTTGTTCTGACCCACTTCCCAAAAGCTGACTGCTGACATGAGAGAACAGTCCCTGATTGTCTCGCTGCAACAAAGATTTCTTTCATCCTCAGCCATTGTTCCCTTTGATGTTATTTCATTCTTGCTGTTTTCAGAGTTTCCCTGGGAGTTTTATTTGATCATAGTGCATTTAGGTTTGTAATGGGTAATTGATGTCTAAGTTATAACTGCTGATGCAATATTTATATTCTGCCCACAGTGTGAGAGGAGCTTCGCCTGGAAGTTTACTGACATCTTGATAGTGCTATGCAGACATCTCAATATAGTGCTACGTTATTATTTCATTACAGCTGCTTCACGCTAATTCATTATTTATAAACACGTGTACTTCTGGCTCAGTGAATAGTTGGCAATTTATTTCCATACGCAGAATCTCATTTTAAGATCCCAGCCTGTTATTCTTCTGGAACTGCAGACCTGACTTATATTTCATTTACTATCAATGTCATACCAATACAACAAACAAAGTAAGGTGATAGAGAGGTAACACTGTCACAGGCACACACTGTTTTACAAACACAAGTGTGGTTTATTTTGGCAGCTGTCCCAGAACCAGTAATTCCCAGATATAGTAGCTTTAATGTCAAAAACTGTCATAACACAGATTTGGCATTAGACATAAAATTAGACTAGTTGATGTCTAATTACACGACTCTAATTTATGTGGGGTTTTTCTGTTGTTCTTTTGGGGTTTGGTTTGGTTTGTTTTCCATGAGATAACCATTTAGGACATTTTTAGAAGGATTTGAACAACTAATAGTATAGCTGGCTCAAACTGACTAATTGCTCTTTTAAGTTTCACTCCAAGCTGTTGTTTGACCTAAATGTCTTGTGATACTATGTCAGCTTTGAACATGAAGCCAAGGGCCAACCTTGTAAGGTTAAGCAGCTATTTGAATTTGTGGTCTTCTATATTCTGGATTAGAATGCAAATCACTTCTGACAACTGGCTGAAGGTTTTTTCACAAGTATTTTTTTTGCTCAAGAGAAAAAGGTTCTGCTTCATTCCCTGTGCACAAGTTCTGGTTTCTCTCCCTTTTGCTGGGCTCTCCATCATGAAGATTCTCTAAAATATGACCCCTTTCCTGCTCAATTGGCAATGACCTACAACGTTTTGCAGACAAAGAGACAGAGGCCTGTGGCATCCCCACTGTTGGAAAGTTCATAAATATTAGAATGAAGCCCTTCAGCTGGACATCCCTTCCTACCCAAACTATCCCATGATTCTATGGTGCTTCAAGAAAAGTACTAAATAAAAATAGTGTGTGACCACTCTGCTGTGAAACCAGGTCTTAAAATAACAGTTTTATTAATTGAATATTACCCCAATTGGATTCCATCAGTTTTGAAGTAATGTAAAAAAATGAAGAGAGGAAAATGCCTTTTGATGTGGTTAACTTCATTCAGATACACGGGGGGGGGGAAAAACAACTTGATATGGAGCTACACCAACTTCTGCAAGGGTATGTATTTTGTCCATAAATCTCCAGTACCCTTATCATACAGAAGCACACAGTCAAGTGTAATGCTGTTAACGAATATACACAATGTTGATTGCTGTGGTTTGGTGCTTGCTCTTTTTCCTTTACATGAAGCCATATTCCCTTACATGTCAAGGGAAGATAATGAAC